CACACACACACACACACACACACACACACACACACACACACACACACACACCAAACACACATCAATCACACATAATGTAGGCAATACTTATAATCACAAACAGGCATATGGTTACTAAATTTTAAACGCTGTCGTCATACGTTTCCGTGTTGTTCTGACCACCAGTTTGAAGGCTGCACCAAGGCGTACTCTCGTCTAGAGAACCTGAAGACTCACCTCCGCTCCCACACGGGCGAGAAGCCGTACATGTGTGAGTTCCCAGGATGCACCAAGGCCTTCAGCAACGCCTCTGATAGAGCCAAGCACCAGAACAGGACGCACTCAAATGCTGTGAGTTGTTAGCTCTGTAGTGTTTGAGGTTGAGTGTTCCTGGTGGGATCATCAAAGTTGTGCCTTGTTGGGTGGTTGGCAGGAGGGTGCTCTGGTGTGGTTTGCTTCTTCTTCTTTCCTATCAAACATCTGTCGTCTTTATCTGTCCTTCTTATTTTTTGTGTTTGTTACTCTCTTGTGACACCTCTAATCTCCGGCACTTCGTATATGACCTTATTGTGTTGCAAGTGCCGTAAAACTCTTTCTAAAACTAAAAAGAATTGTGAGTGGGATGGATTTCAGAAAAGGCTACAGTCACTGACCAACCGATGTTGAATAATCTCTGACTTCTATAACCCTGTGTTAAAACGAGCATCAACGAGTTTTTTTAGAAGGCAAAGTAACAGAGGTCAGACTTTACACTTTACGTATAATACATAACATGGATGTTTGTTTATAACTTATAACAGTATTGCTCTTTAGAGTATGTATCTATATACTCCAAAGGTCTTGTAATTAAATTCCTGCTTGTGGTTGAATGATGCATCTGATGTGATATGTACATTTTATCAGTTTTATTTCTCTTTTCAAATTGAATTTTAATGAGGTTAATATATAATTTAACATTTTTATGTATACCTGCACATGTTCATACGGTCCTGTACAGCCAGGAAATATTTCCCTCTAGGGTAGCAAAGTATTATCTTATGTTATCTTATCTTTTCAAATGTATAAATCGTCTACTTTTTCCCCCCAGAAACCGTATGTTTGTAAAGCGATTGGCTGCACCAAAAGATACACAGATCCGAGCTCATTACGCAAACATGTCAAGACGGTCCACGGAGCCGATTTCTACGCCAACAAGAAACACAAGGGTGACGGTTCTTGTCACGTGAAGAAAGAGGACCCCGACGGGGTGAGTCGCCAACAAGGGAGAGCAGAGCCAGCTCTCTGGGTTTACTTTACAAGCGCAAATTCGGGGAGGGGGGGTGGGGTAA